TAAAATATAATTTATATGTTTATATATATATAAATTTTAAAATTTTAACATGTATGTGAAATGTATATGGTAAAATATTAATTTTTTTTATTATAAGACTGTTTTCTAATTATTAGATATATTAATTTTATTTTTTAGAAAATTTTCTTTAATTAACTATTTTTTAAAATGAAATACAATAAATATTTAAAATTAATTAGATAAAAGTTTACTCTCTCTTATTCGGGTCAAAGAAGATAAATAAATATATAGATATTTCTATTTTAAATATTAATTAATTGAGAAATAATTAAGTGAAAAGATAAAATGTTAAATTAAGAAATGTCAAAAATAATTTTGAAAAAAGATAATTTATGTTATTGACAAACTTAATTTTCTTAACTAAATTAATTAATCGTTTTAAAAGGGTGTAATTTAATTAAAATGTCTTATAATTAGAGATCATAATTGTAATATTTATTTTTAGAATAATTATAATAATAATAATAGAAATTTCACACTTTTAAATACATTTTTTTATTGATTAAAATTTATTAAAAAATATATAATTTGATAGGTCTCAAATCTTGTTTAATGAATATTTCTTAATTTTATAATTCTTAATAAATTCTAACTAATAAGAATGAATGTATTAAAAGATGTTATTAAACTTCTTTTTTATAGTAAAAAAATTATTTTGGCTCATTTATTCTTTTTCTTATTTTAGTTTTCTTGCTTTTTTTATTACATCATACTTTTTTTTATATTTCTTTTTCGATCCATTCCATTTGAGAGGTAGATGTTAATCAGAATCTTTTTAGGAGGAGAAAAACCATTTTTTATTCCTTCCTTTTTATCAGTTTAAAAGACACAATTGGTAGTATAAATTTCTTTTTCTTCGATTTTCACTTTTAGACTAAAAAGAAAAAAATGATCGATCATAATCGTTTTTAATATGCTTTATTCATAGTAAGTTGGATAGTTAAACGGTGATGTAACATTTATGGTGACAACTAGTATGTTGGTTCATACAATTGAACATGTGTTGAAATTCATATTTATAATTTTTTCTTAAAAAATATATTTATTAAATAAGATGTGAGACTTACAAAAATTTATGTTTTAAAAAATTTTAACAAAAAATATATTTATTTTGAATTAGAATATAAAAAAAAAAAAAATAGAGTGAATTCCTAACCTTTTTTCTTAATTGTGTTGAAGTGATAGTTAAGTGTTCAACAAAAAGATGGTTAATTTTTTTAAAACAAATTATAAATAATAAATTTAGTTAATATGCGAAAATAGAAGAAGTAATTATGTATGTGTATACATAATACATGTTTTTAAAATACAAATACTATTACAGGAAGTAACATGAATAAATTTTTAAAGTGAAAAAAAAAATCTAAATTCAATTGGATTCGATGTGTTATACAAAAAGAAATTAAAAGTAATCGATTAATTAGAAATAAAAATGCAATGCTCAATCTTTATATCATTTATTATTATAGACAAATTTGTCTCACATTTATAGTTGTATAGTTGTAGTTAATTTTTCAATCTGTTTATTTATTGTCAACATAGGAGATATAAAAATATCACAATTAATATTTTTGTTAATCCTAAATAAATATTATTGAATTTATATGATAACATAATATTTTTTCTAACATATATTAAATGTAATGTAGTCTATAATATAATTATATGAATTAAAAAAAATTAGTGTAATGCAAAATAAAATAAATAAATTCAGAGAGAGTGCAATTAATTACCCCATGTACTACAGTAGTACAGTGCAATCTGGCACGTCATTTCCTTCTCAAAGAGTTTGCTTAAAACTGATACAGAAAGCATCTAATTTTCTAAACAAAAGGGTAATAATCATGAGTGATCTGAGTGCCTTCTTTAATAAGAATCAAAGCACAAGTAGAATCAGATTTGCAAAGAATGCTAATGATGCCTTCCAGCCAGGCAATAGTAAGATCATTATAAGTTTCTTATACGTAACACCTCAAGTTTTATAAAATATTTTAGAAATTTTTAAATAATCATGAGTATTTTTAATTAAAAAAATATTTATAAAATTATTTTTTTATAAAAAAATATTTGGAAAAAATATTTTTAATTAATTATATAATTAAATATATTTTAGAAAATATGTTTTATATATTTTATTTTATTTTATTTATAATTATATTGAGAGAAATATATGTATTATATATATATATTATTTATTAATTATTAGTTATTATATTTTATTATAATTAATGGAATGGTTCTAATATTTATTTGAATTAATTGATATACACATTCGTATAATATGAGGTTATGTGATGAAAGATTTTAATTGAATAAATTAAGGAGGAGGAAATTTATAACTATGGTCAAGTGTTCTAACTACAGGGTTAAAGAAGGGTTAAGTTCTAATTAAAAGAGGAAGTTTTTTAGCATACTTTTTTATGCTTTCTTTTTAAGTATGTTTTTATGTTTCAGAGCTCGAAAAACTAAAGAATGAAAGAAACCATTCTGAAGTTGCAAGATTGTCTTCTACTCATCAAGGTAAGGAGGGAGTGAAAAGTCTCACTCTAAGTGTGAGATTATATGTTGGGTAGTGGGATTGACCCTCAATCCATCTTTGTTGTATCTCTAAGTATATGATATCTTCTTTGTTTCTCCTTGTATATTCTATTTGATGTAAATTGTAATATGTGTTGGTAATTTTTTAGAATGGGATTGAAATTGTATGTTTTGGTGTTCCTATGAGTTCCTATGAGAACCCTAAATGGTTATTGTGTGAGTAGTTAATAGGAGTATGTAATTAAAATGTGAAATTAAGGTTGAATTCAAGTAATTGATTATATAATAGGGTAATATTAAGCTTTAATCGTGATTTTTATCGATTGGTTTGTAGTTTTAGGTTTGTCATGTGCGATTTTTGCACTTCGTTGTAGTGAATTTCATCCTAGGGCAACAGCTGGCATGCCCATGCATTGCGTTGCATGCCTATGTGGCCGATGTTGAAAAGTCTTGTGCTGAATCGCAATTGACACAAGTGTGCACCCACTTGCACGCCTGTGCAAGCATCCCAAATGATCGAATTAGCCTTTAATATTTTCATAACATTGTAGCCTTAGATATTAACTTACCTAAAAAGGAGGTTTATAACCCGTTATAATTAAATTAGTGAGCAAATGTCAAGCTGTCAGATTTAGGCTAAAACACTACAGTTTTGTATTTTAAAAAAAATAATAGATGGAGGAATTAACTTTTGAGGTCAACATAGAAGTTGGAAACAATTATTTTAGCTTTCTAAGAAAATTAAGATCAGCTTGATAGAATATATATTGTTCTAGATAAGGTGTTTGGACTATACGATGTCTTAGAAGATTAAGTTATGAAAATGTAATTTATGCGTGGTGATGATGAATAACTTTACCTTTTAAATGTTTGATCTTATATGAATGATTTGAGGTACCTATATCAATATTAAGAAAGATAAATTATGGGAGAAACCAATCGTGAATAAGTTATGATGTAAGTTGGTTGTTAATTATTTGAAGTGTTTTGATGATAGTGATGTTTAAGGACTTAACGTGTGATATCGATAAGATTACTAGGCTAGTTAAGCTATGATTTAAAAAATTAGTGACAATGATCTCTTAGTAACTATGATCGAGGTGTTAACATATGATTAAAAGATCTCATAATGATTTTATCTTGAGGCGTATTGAATGATGTTGTGTAATTGTTGTTGTTGAACTGAGAACATGTATAATCATTATATTAATTAATATTGATAACTAGTTGTGGTATATGAGTATACTATTAATATGATTATGAGCTATGTATGAGTTGTAGTGATATGATCCCTTATGCCATTGATTTCTAATATTTAATTGATATGATCGAATTGTTAATTATTATATTGAGAAAAGATAATGATTATATGATATGAGATTAGTTGACAATGAAATGATGTGATGATATGATATAATAAGACATATGATATGTGAATTAATGAGATCATGTGAATTGTTATGTATAGATTTTGTTGACATGCATCATATGTATAAAAATGTTTTTAAGGGTGTGATATGGAATACATTGCTAAGGAAGGTCCCCTTGTGTAAAAGTTTGGGGATCGATCCTTGGGATAACTCAGTTTGGAAGTCTCAATTCTACCATCCTATGCATGGGATGCATCTTGCGCAACTTAGCTATCTCAACTAGACCTTGGTAGTATGTCCTCTTAGTATGAATGCGTAAAGGGTGTGACTTGACATGTTCTCCTAAGCTACTTTACATGTATTGTTATTGGCAATGCACAAGTATGATGTGTGATTTTTTACTGGCACCAATGCATGATAACATTTAGTCCATGTCCATCGCATATGCATCTTAATGTTATGTGTTATTTAATTATTATGTCATGAAATAGTGAAATTTGTTATTGTTACCAATTTGTCCATGTTGTGTATATATATGTATGCCTTGTTTATGTTTGGCTATCCGATGACATTCCTACACCGTGAGCTAGAGTGAGATGTTTCTCACTTTCTTATTTTGTTTGTTGTTTTTCTTATGTTTTCTGTTGTTAATCATCAACATAGTGCTGAAGATGCTGGTGATGAGCCTTAGGCTTCATGTTGGGTTA